GACTGAGCCCGCCCCGGCATCACCCCCCCCATGCCCCTGCTCTCCTGGGGTATTACCCCCCAATATCCCTGCCCACCTGGGATATTTCCTCCCCAATACCCCTGCCTGGGCTGCTTCATTGCCCCCCCTCTCCCCAGGGTATTCCCAACCCCCAAAAAAACCCCAACTCCTTTCCCCACCAGCCCACACCCCCCATCCTGCTGCCAGCCATGAGACGGAGGAGATAAGAGGTTACAAATCCCGGAGCGAGGCTTTATTGGGCCCCGGCTGCAGGGGAGGGGGCGAGTGGGGGCCAGGGGGTGCAGGGACACCACCCCCAGCCCCCAGTACCGACCACGCTCCAGGGCTCAACACTAAAACGCCGACGAGAGACACGGAATAACTTAACGCCTGGGGCAGCGTCCGTGGGGTGGGACAGACCCCCAGCGGGGGATAAGGCTTGCAGGGTGGGGGGGACACGGCCTCATGCTCTGCACCCCCTCCCCAAGCCAAAGCTGCAGCCTATGCGGACTGGGTGGGGGGTGCAGGAGGTGGGGGTAATGAAGATGCAGGATCAGGTCCCTGCATTGCTTTGGAGAGGAGGAGGAGGAAGGGGAGGAAGAAACAAGGTCCCACCGCCCCCATCCCCACCACCGCACGTAGCCTTGGTGAAAGCAGAGGGGAGCCCCGCACCCAGGGAAGGGGGACGCATGGGGGGTGTTGGGGGGGGTGGTGAGCGTGTCCCAGGGTGCCAGGACGTGTCCCGGTGTGCAAGGACGTGTGTGGGACACGGCCGGAGGAGTGTCTGCATGGGGGGAAGGCACTCGGTGAGACCAGCAGCGGTCATGTTGGGGAAAGGGGCGGGGGGGCACATTTGGGGCTCATCCCCATGAGCGTGCAAGGCACGAGCGTGCAAGAGCCAGGCTGCACACCGGCGAGCCCGGTGAAGCGGACAGGAGCGTGCAGAAGCCAGCGCCGGGATGCGGCCACGGCCAAGGGGGATTGGGGCAAGGAGAGATGCACTTGTGCAAAGTCAAACACCGGCTCTCGTGCTCCCCTTGCACGGGGGAGGCCGGGGGGGGATGGGGTGGGGGGGTCAGTAGTACTTCTCCGGCTCCTGCCATTTGGTCACCCAGTGTTTCTTGCGCCGGCGAGGCAGGAGGCCGCCGGACTGGTAGCGCTGCTCCTGCCGGATCCTCACCGCGTGGTACTTGGGCATGATCCGGTAGTAGCGGGTCCGCTGGAAGAAGTCGCACTGGGAGGGGAGAGGGAGGGGAGAGGGTCAGCGTGGGGCTGGAGAGGGTCAGCATGGGGCCGGAGAGACCCCAGAGCCGGCAGAGAGAAGAGGCAAAAGGGAGCAGCAGTCCTGGAGCCGCTCGGAGAGACCCCACGGAGCCCACTGTACCCTATAGGGACCTATAGAACCTGGCAGGAGAAATGAGGCAGTGAGGAAGAGGAGAGGAGGCTGAAGAGGAGGAGGATGCCGCTGTAGCCGGCCCCCACGGGGCATTACCAAGCGGGTGGCGCGGGCGCCCGGAGGGGGGGCAGCAGGGCTGGCCCCCCCATTAGTAGTCATCCGTCAGCCGCTTGGTTTCCGACGGCTGGATTCTCATCTCTGCCTTCTGCCCCTTGGCTTCGTACATGGCCCGCGTGTTGGCCCGTCGGAAGAAACCGCACTGCGAGGAAGGAGGTGACAGGGGTCAGGGGGGGACAGGAGAGGGGCCGGGGGGCTCCTGGCCACCCCCCGTGGGGTGGGGGGAGCGGGGCAGTGAACTGCCCCCATTGCACCCTCACTCTGATGCTCGCCCCTGGGGATGCTGTGGGGTGGGTGGACCTGCAGAGCCACGTAACCTCTCCTGGCCAGAGAATGGGGTCCCCAGGGAGCTGGGGGGGGCCCCGGGGGGGCGGAAAAACCCCCCCCCCCCCCCCCAAGTCCCTGCAGCGCAGGGGGAGGTGGGAGCCACGGGCTGAGGAGGTGCCATCGTCCAGCCCCTGTTTTGGGTGGGTTTTTTTTGCAGCACCCAAAATGTTTTGCAGCGGGATTCTCTCTGCTGCTCCTCTTCCTCATTGCTCAGCAGCTGGGCATCTTCCACCCACCGCTCCCGAGCGTCCCGCAGCCAGGCGGGGAGGATGGCAGCCACCAGTGACACGAGCCCATCAGGTCTCAGCGGCACGGCTCCTGCACCCCCTTCCTGGGAGGGGGAATCCGGGCACCCCCTCACCTTCCAGAGGAGGAGGATGATCAGCCCCAGTAGCAGCAACCCGGCCGCCACCGACACCAGCACCAGCCACAGCGCGATCTCGGCCGGCTGCTCCTCCGTCAGCTCCGAGTCCACGTCCACGGAGAACTGGAAGGGCCGAGAAGAGCCTCATCAGGGGGAGAGCTCCCAGTGGCCCCAGTCCCTCCCAGCCTGTCCCAGTAAGAGGCTCCAGCACCACTCACCCGCACCGTGTGGTTCTTCATGTTGATGGTGGGGATGTGAGTCCGGAGGAAGAGTGTGGCCGTGCCATCCACCTTCACCCGGTCAAAGTCACTGTACTCCTGCGGGGGCATGGATGATGGAAAGGGGGGGACATGAATGACAGAAGGGGTAAGGGACGGGTGTTAGCTTCTGAGCTGAGACCTGGCAAACTCAGTGCCCTGTTTCAGCACCATCCCCAAGGCAGCAGCCCAGCCTTGACCCCCTCCATCCCCAGGCTGCGCTGCTGGGCCCCATGCTGACCTCGATGAAGGTGCTGTTCCACACCCGGGCACGGATGCTGAAGGTGGTGGAGTCCTGGGTGTGAAGGAGGGGGCACTCGAACCAGATGCAGCGAGCGGTGCCCTTGGAGCAGCTCTAGGACATAAGGGAGGAGGGGGGGAGGTCGGCGGGGGAACCAGAGTCCCCAACGCAGTGCGCTGGTGCCAAGCAGCATACGCGGCCGTCCCGGTGGCGGGCACGTGCTGCTGGACCCCCTCCCACCCCCTGAAGCCCTCACTCACCAGCACCACCTCCGACTTAGCTTTTTTGGCGGTGGCCAGGATGACGGGGGGCTCTGCTGGCTCAGGGGCCTCCAGCTCCCGTCTCTGCCGGGATGGAACCTGGTCCTCCAGCAGCTGGGGGGACACACACACGAGCCCCATCAGAGCCCGGGCAGCTTTGCCCACCCGGGGCTGACGGGGCTGGAAGTACCCACACAGTGGGGCAGGGACACATCCCCCCAAAGGAGCAGGGACAAGGTCACTCACGGTGAGGTTGAGGGGGTTAATGACCCCCCCGGGGGGCTGGCAGGTTTCATTGCTGTTGACGAGGATCTCGGTGGGATAGAGGAGCCATTTGCCATTGGGGATCTCGTAGGGCCACTCGAAGCCCAGCAGGATGGTGCCCAGGGTGCCCAGTGACTCGTTCTTGGTGGTCACCTGCGAAGCAGAGGGGGAGATGGAGATCGGCGCTCCTGACCCCCCCCACGGACACTAGCCGCCCCCCAGCTCACCTGGAAATCAAAGGCGAGGGGGCTGCCCACGTCCTGCTCTCTCCGCATGGCCGACTCGCCCACCACCGTCCCGCTGAAGTGTGACTGGGCATGGGAGGAGACTCTGGGGACAGGACAGGATGGCGGGGTGGGGGGGACACATGCATGGTGAGCGGGGCAGAACGGGCAGGGAGCATCTCTGGGGCACCCCTCTGCCCCGTTCCTGGGACACGGGGGGGTCGTGGCCACTCCCGACGCAGCCAAATTTAGGTGGGGTGGATGGAGGGGATGCAGAGGGATGGGGGGGCACAGCCTTGCTGCACTCACATGGTCAGCGAGGACTGGATGCTGTAGTCCACCAGCAACTTGGCCAGCACGGGCTGCAGGTCCTCCTGGGTGCTTTGCCTGCCAAGGCACTGGGGTCAGCATCTCCCACCACCGAATAGCTCCCAGACAGTGTGGGGCAGCCCCCACCCTCCCAGCAGGAGCCACGGGGTCCCAAGGGGTCCCTGTCCTGTCCATCCCAGGAGCCCTGCCTGCTTTCCAGTTCTTCCCAGACCAGCAACGCCACCAGATACGATCCTCATCCACCACCGTGCTTCCACCAAGTGAAAGAGAAGCCAACATCACTCCAGGCACCCTCTTCCCAGCCCATTTCCACCCACCCGGGGACACTCACGTGGACAGGTCCAGCCACACCAAGATCTCCCGTGTATCCAGCATGATCCTAATGGCCTCGAAGGTGATGATCAGCTCTGCCTGCAGCACAGAGGGACCGTGGAGCAGCTCAGCCGGACCCCCGCCTGCCTGCCAAGCCCCCAAAAAGGGCTGGAGGGTGGCTGGTGGAGAGCACTCACCCTCTGGTTCCTCTTAAAAGGGTTGCCCAGTTCGCACAGCACCGTCTCTGCAATGGTACACGCTCCGCTCTGGGAAGGGGAAGGAGGATGAGGAACATCCCGGCAAAGCCCACCCCGGTCCTCGTGCCTTCTTCAGCCGGGGAGGGGGATGCCACTGCCTACCGGGCGGACGGAGGACGGCAGCAGGCTGGCCGGCACGGTGACGTTGAGGAGCGCCTCGTGGGCATCCTCGCCGTTGGAGGGGGTGGTGGGCACGTTGGTGATGTTGATGCTCAGGTAGAGCTTCCGCATGTCCCGGCTGTACTGCAACACCTGGGTACCGTTCAACCTGTGCAGAGACCGTCCCCCACTCAGCACATGGGTGGCCCACCCCAGCGGGATGGAGATGGAGATCCACCCCCCTGCTTCTCCTAGCACAGCCCAGGGTGGGCTGAGGGGCGACCTGTGGCCGAGGGGACGGCACAGAGGGTGGTAGAGATGGATGGGGACCCGGGGGGACCCGCTGTCACCTGGGCAGGGGCTGGTTCTGGTCAGTGACAAAGCTGCTCTGGAGCTGGAGGTTGCTGTAGCACTTGTTATCGGAGCCGCATTCCTTCTGGAACTCGATCTGGAGGGACAGGGACGTCCCCATGAGCCTTCTTCCATCCCCCAGGCGAGGCTCGCTGGGGCGCTTGCAGCCCAGCATCTCCATCACCACCCCCCCCCCAGCACCTTGGTCTCATTCTCGTGGGACTGGTCCTGGTTGAGGACAGGGAAAGCATCGAGGGAGTGGGGGCCCAGCTGAAAGGTCCTGGGCTTCTCCACCAGCGAGTAGTTCATGGAGAGCACGATGGGGTGCAGCTTGTCTCGGATGTTGTCCTGCGGGGTGGCAGAAATCACGGCAAAGCCTCGGCTCCCTCCCTGGCCCCCCCTCCAGCTCCAGCCAGGCAGCCCCTGGCCACAGCTGGGGTACCAGCTTCTGCTCACGAGACCCAACAAACTCATCACAGGAGGGATAGAGGGATGGATTTCCACCTCTTTTCCTGCTGTTCCCAAGACCCTCCACATTCTGCCATCCCTCTCCCTGTTCCCAGGAGCTGGTCCCCCAGCTCCAGTGCCACCTGTAGAGCAACCCGTGGTGCATGCACACACTTGTGCGCTCACGTGTGCACAGACACACGTGCGCTCGCACACGCTCACCAGCAGCAGGAGCTCCTTGGATTCACAGCGGGTTTCGGGCATGGGGAAGACGCCGCGGTAGGTGGCAGAGTGGGTGCCCAAAAACCTGACCCTGGGGGGGTGCCGGTCCTTGTCAGCCTCCAGCGTGTACTCCAGGGCTGCGGGGAGAGCAGAGTGCTGTGGCATTGCACACACGCGTGCCTCCAACGCAACCTCCTGTGTGCACACGTATCCCCTGCACACCCACGTGTGTGCATGCCAACACGCGTGCATCTTCCCTTAAACGTGTGCTCACACACACGTGTCCCTGTGGACGCACGCACCCTTGTACAAGTGCTAGTGA